AAACTTATTCAGTTTCCAAAGTATACGCGAAAGCGGTTGATTATATTGAGACTATAAATAAAGGAAAGATTTAATATCTTCTATTACTACAACTTGTAGCTGGGTAATATGCATGTGAAAAGCTACCCACTTTATTCTCCAGTTTGTACTACACAAATAAAAGAATACCACAATAAAGTGGATGTTTATTGATATAAAAATCCATATCATAATAAACTTGGAGTTTATTGATAATTGCACACGTCATGGTGTAAATCTGAAGTTTATCAATATTGATAATTTATTCAGTTGGCATAATTGGTTTACCCATATCAATTTAAGTATGATGTGCAAAAATAAAAGAGAATTCACATGGGTAAATATTAAAGAACTAGAAAGTTCTTTACGAATTCTCCTATGTTGCCTGTTCTCATTAATTAATAGATCAACTAAAATTGGGATTGAATCCCATGAATGCTGGAAATATCAAAGGTGAATATGGGCACATTCACCTGCCATGTATACCACATAAGATGCATCAATGAGATGGTTACATGTGCGATTATTAATAACCCGCAACATGGTGTTTTGCGAGGTAACTTGCTCAATAATTTAATTTCGAGCATAATTTTCAGATTTTCTATTCAAGAAGTTCATTTTGATAAGTTGGTTTACATCACAGTTGGTTTAGCAAAATGATTTATTAAGTGCCTCTACTTAATAGCTAAACAATTGCTTATGAGACTAAGTTATCTATATCTGTTTGATATATGTTATATACGAAAGTATATTACATTCTCCCCCCACAAGTGGTTCAGGGTCAAGAACCAAATAATTTCATCTTATTATTATTGATGTGCGGTGTATATTTTGATTAACACCATAACGCACAAAGGTGGATTCTCAAAGTTGAGGTAACAAGTTAGTTTTTCTAACATGAGGGGGAGACATGATAAACAATTGAGAAAAATTTACGTGTAATGAATTATCATGTGTACATCTAGATCCTCGAATAAGATAATATGAACTTGAAGTTCATAAAAGATAATCATCTGCAATATATTGCAAAGCATGCCAGACGCATTTGCTGACCCAAAGGAAGTAACTATATTTTCATTGCAAATGCTCTTATTAAGTCCTAGAAGGACAAAGTCTATGCTACGCTTAAAGCGTATAGACAGATCGGTTTCAAATAAACTTCTTGATAAAGAAGATGAGCAAATGATCAAAATGATCATAATAAAGGAGGCAAGTGATCTAGAAGATCACGTGACATAACACTTCATAAAATCTCATGAGAGATTCAGGTACCTGAATATATGAATGAAGAGATCTCTATGTTATGTCTTTATGAAGAAGAAAAAAAGAAGGTTGGAACCGATATAAAATGTTCGTTGACGACATCTATAATTGCGCTAAATATATATGAGGATCTTAAGTCTGGAGAAACAATTTCGAATAGAATTGGTTTCATATGAAAGACATGTAGTTTTGAACATGTAGTTCAAACACTTGAAGTAATAAAGTCAATGGTATGTGTAATCAGTTTTCGATATCTTATATGTCTAGCATGACATGAAAACTTGATATGCATCAAAAGTCTACTATATGGCTTATATGACAATCCATGAAGGATTTAAATTGCTTAAAGCATATATAATTCTTGGTCATGAAGTACTACATCCAAAGTGCAATTTGTGCACAAATGTAACTTGCTATAACTATAGGCATGATAATATGATAGCAAGAGTTTTCACCTCTATGTGAAGATATTGAACTGACGATTCCAACAAGATCATATAAAGACAATTCATCTCTATCAAGAATGATGATTTCAAGGTGCAATATATTCATTCAAGTTAATATGGCTGATTTGTTTATCAAATATCTATCAAAGATCTTTTGAAGATGGTGCACAAGATTGGAATGCAATTGCTTAAGGATGTGAAGTGATGCTCTCATGAGGGGGAGTTAATACGCGTTGTACTCTTTTCCCTTACAAGGTTTTGTCCCACTGGGTTTTCCTTGCAAGGTTTTTAATGAGGCAGCCAAAAGGTGTATTTCTAAACATGTGTACTCTTTTTCCTTCTCTAGAATTTTTTTCCCACTGGGTTTTATTTTAGTTAAGGTTTTAACGAGGCACATTATCTGTTGAATAGACATTCAAGGGGGAGTGTTATAAATAGAATTGTATTTATGGTGAATGTCTATATTTAGAGAGATTCTAGGGTTCATTGCTTGGTGGCTAAGTCACCTTCTCCCTATAAATATAGGGTTCTATTCTATTGTAATTCATCACAAATCAATAAGAATTCTCTCCCTCTACTTTTCTCTGCAATACTCTTCTTCTTCTTTTATTGTTCATAACAAAATCCACCTTTTAGTATTAATTAGCAATGGAATTGACCATATTAACCTTTACTGTCTCACATAAACACTCCTAACACATATTCCAACACTATTTACTCCAAGGACAATGTAGGAAAAAAATAATTAATTCATTCTTGAAATCTGAAAAAATCACTTATTTTGGACCACAAGAAAAATGCCAAAAAATCACTTATTTTGGACCGGAGGGAGTACTTGCTTTAATTATGAAATTTTTTTAAACCATAAACCTGCTGGAAAAAGAAGACAAGCAAGTTTAGATATATTGAGGAAATTAATTGAGGCCGGGGAGAGGGAGGGGGTTTGTAGAAAGTGGAGTCCATGTCATATGAGTCCAATAAATAAAGAATCTGTCCTCATCATTTATGACTGTGCATATAAAAGGAACCCACGGAAAATAATGTATGCACATTTTGCACAATCTATATACCAAATGATCTTTCCATCCATGTATATATATATACCCTATAATATTCCCTGTCTCTCCTCTGCTCTTTTTCTCCTTCTTCTCTCACTAGACACATAAAGAAAATATATATGTGCATGATCAAGTGTATGTTGAGGAGAATGTCGTCTGGTTCGAGATCTTTCATTGACAAGGCAAAACCAAAAACTATAGATATTTATATGTGTGTGTAGTCATCACGTACGTGAATGATTTCGGACCAGGCTTCATTCTCCTCAACCTCCAATATATTTACATGCTTACTTAGCTTAAAACAGTACTGGAAACTGTACACAGCTAGGGTTTCTTCTGCAATTGCCTCGGAGTATACTTAGGAAACATGTGCAGCACCTCCAACTAACTTTGAACAGTACTGTGCTTCCAAGTATGAAGCGTGGATTGTAATCCAAATAATGAAAAGGTGAGTTGCTGGTGAGTTTTGACATTGATCTTGATCTTTTTCCTTATGTGATGAGCGACTTGGTGCGTAAATTCTTATACATATTTTGTGTTGGATGTGCGAACAAAGTCCCACATTGGTAGCCGAAAAGACTGAGAGCCTACATATAAGGTGTAGGGATCTCTTAATGGTGTGAGGCCTTTTGGGGAAAACCGTATGTGATGAGTGTATTGGGAAAAACTGAATTTAAATATTGAAGATGACATGTCATGACACGTGGACCGGTCAAATAGTCAAAGCATGACAAACAGTTAGAAGACACGAGCAACAATAGATGCGGGAGAGAAGATACGAGCTACTATCCAGATGAAACGAGACTCGTACCTGTTCGAGCCATTTAAAGCTCGAAGATCAGAAGGAATTGAAGATATGAATCTGATAGCGTAAAAAAGTCCAAATTCAACATTAAATGCCAAATACGTTAGAGAATTTGTATTTAATAAGAATGATTGAATAACGTTTCTTTTAATGTCATTTACTGCTCGTAATTGCCTCATTAAGACAAAGATATTACACTTTCTCTTAGAATTGACTATAAAAGGAGAAAGTCACAACATTTGTAAGACACAAAATATCATTCCGATTATACTGAAATATACTCTTATTCATTGCTTTATTGTTATTCACAAAATCTCTTATTTCTTGATTATCAGTAACCCGATTTCTCTATTAAATTCTAACTTTAACCAAATATTCAGTTTTCTGGTTAAACAATGAGCGACTTGGTTTACATATTCTTTGTTTTCAAGCTTTCCTGATACTTAACTATGAGGGCGTAAATTCTTATACATATTTTTTTTTGGTTGATGTGCGAACAAAGTTCAACATTGGTAGCCAAAAAGACTGAATGTCTGCATATAAGGTGTAGGGATCTCTTAATGGTGTGAGGCCTTTTGGGAAAAACCGTGCTAGCTTGGCCAAAAGCAGCCAATATATATCACACTATGTTAAGAGTATCTTTGGGCTGGTTGAGCCCAACAACAAGTATCAGAGCCCCCATGGATCATGGTAATGGACCACATAGAACTTAGTTCGAGGGGAGACCTGTGAATCGTGGTGATAGGCCACGTGGAACTTAGTTCGAGGGGGAGATTGTTGGGTATGCGAACAATGTCCACATTGGTTGCTAAAAAGATTGGGAGCCTTTATATAAGATGTATGAATCTCTTAATGCTGTAAGGCCTTTTGGGGAAAACCGTGCGGGTTTGGTCCAAAGGGGACAATATCACACCATGTTAAGAGTATCATTGGGCCGTTTTAGCCCAACAACTAGTATCAGAGCCCAAGTTCTGCAGGATGAGTATGTCGATGACAAAGTGATGGTGCGAGACCCGACTTGGAGATGCGCATACAAAAAGAAGTTAGTCGCAGGCTTCGGTTGCCATAAATACTCTAACAATGTGGGTGACACACAGTGAATCTCAGAAAATTGACCCATGGATCGTGGCAATGTGAAACTTAGTTCGAGGGGGAGATTGTTGGATGTGCGAACAAAGTCCCACATGGTAGCTGAAAAGACTAGGAGCCTACGTATAAGGTGTAGGGATCTCTTAATGGTATGAGGCTTTTTGGGGAAAACCGTGCGGGCTTTGCCTAAAGCGGGCAATATCACACCATATTAAAAGTGATTAATCGTGATTGATTAATGCATATTTTTATGTCAATATATTTACTTAATCTACAATTACCTAGTGCAGTATTGATGTAATTAATGATCAAATGTGAGTAAGCTTTTCCCAATGTTGGATTTATACTTCCAAGATTGTTTCCATCACTCGAAAACCCATCCTTCATCTAAGGGAGCAAGTACTCCAATATATATTATTTAGGGAAAGAAAAAGAAGAGATCAGATCGAGAAGCTTATTAGTGTAGATCATTCTGATCCGTTTTACTAATTCCTTAGCTTCATTCTTAAACAAAGTGCAATTTCTGTCTTTGTTAGACATGCAAGTCCAATTAATCGCGCTTATATTATATTATATATGTGCTATTGCCAATTGCTAATTAATTAATTCAGTGCCTACTTTTCCTTGATAATATATATGAGATTGTGAACCTACCTTTGTAGCATCTGGTAAAAGAAGATATCGAAGAATATCTAGCTGCATATGTACTTGTCGTGCTTGAGAGCCTCAAATAGAACATGTTAAGTGAAGACTGAGTATTACTCCCTCTGTAGTCCGTATGCAGTTCCGATTTCATACTTTTTTTCATATTTCTTTTAGATAGTTTGAATTGTCAGTTATTGTGGTTTATAGTATTTTTATGTGGTTTTGATCACTTTTTGAATATGTAATTTTTATTTTAAAAAACTTAAAGAATACGCGGTCAAAATTAAGAAATTTGACTTTCGATGTATCATATATCCCATCGTTTACGCTCGTTGTTACTCCTATAATTTCTGCTATCTTTTTCCTTTTAAAAAAAATATTCTTTTATACCGAGTCAAACCTTGTGAATAATGACAACAATTGTAGCTTTGTACTTTACGTAGAACAAAATAACAATGATTGGGGAGCAACTCCAATTCCCTATAAATTTTACCCATTGTCAGCAGGGAATTAGTTAATTCTGCAGGTTGATAAATCAAGAGGACAACAACTTTGTCTCCAATATTAATTGAGATGGTTTCTTGAGATAGAGATGACTTATCACTTTGCAGTGTATCACAAAAATTGAAAAGTTTCAATCAGAAATACAGACAAGAAAACATCCTGTCAATTCTCCATTTTTGTTTTCATGCAACTCTGAAAATTCCATTGGTATTTCTATTATACATACTCCATAACAGGACAAATTTCACAAATTCCATAAGCTGGTTTCATGTGATAATTCATTTTCAAACTTTGAGCCTATCCATGGCATTACACGCCAAGTCCTCCTTCTAAAGATTTTAATCTTGAAATTTTTATTAACTTGAGACTCAGACTGCAAATGGATGCCTTTGGGCTATAATCTCATTTGAAAGAATGGGATCAATTTGAACTAAACAAATTAATACAAATCTAATTGCTAAATTTCAGGTGGAGTAATTTTTAAACATGATAAATGCTCTTTGCTGCCAGTTGTCATAGTATTAAATAACTTATACTATCTTCCTTAAGTGTAGTCCGTACCATTACTTGAGCCTGTGACAGCTGATTAAGATGAAAGGTATTCAAATTAAAAATCAGACTGTAATGTTAAAGACAAGGCGACAGAAGATTCACTGTGGAAATAGTCTTCTGTATTCATTAATCTGAATGGAGAACACCGCGGGCGAATTTAACAACCAATAACTATTTTCTCCCGTAAGGTGCAAAGGGGTAAAAGCGATTCATATTATGCAAAAGACAGCTTCTTCAGTGCATTAAATTCAGTAAATATATGCTGATCAACAAACCAGTAGGCCTTATATATTAGAGCTGCTTTCCCCTCCATTTATGGCATTTCGTGGCTACAACAGTATTAAGACAGTTGTACAAGAGTACAGATGAGCCACCAAGTTTGCAATGAACACATCCCCTTATCAATAGTACAAGATTCTACCTAGTCAAAAATTAAAAATGGCAATGTCTTCTAAACTACTTGATAACGTGGTATCTTCATCTTCGTTCTCCTGTATTCTGCAGATTGTAATACAGCAACAACCTTGCTGCAAAATTTGCCTGCTCAAAGAGAGCCCTTTTATGGAAGAGATAGTTTAGCAGAGCGAAAGAAGCCCCAACTACCTGGTCAGCAGCTTCTTCCCGGGCTTACACCAGCCGAAAATTGCAGCAAAGGCTTTCATACAAAGAGGAGAAAGCGCAATAATTCTTGTCAAATGTACCCTTCTAGGAATTGACAGTATTTTAGCGGGCTTCTAACAGCATCTGATAGAGGAGGGAATTGAACACCAATGAATTGAAAGCAATGCTGCAAACAAAATAAAGAAAGTTAGTGCATAGAATTTGTAAGAAAATTCAATACCTGATGTCTAGTAATAAGTAGGCTACAAACAGGATATGTTATCTCTTTTTTGTCTAACTGTGTGTCCCAGCCAGCTTGTGCGACCTCAACAATTCAACGGGGTACCTACTAGCTCCCACCAACACAGGTAGATAATTTTGTCCCCCAAGGCTTAAGCAGATGGGAATAGATCACTTAGCGTTTTGTCTCTTCTTGGTTGGGATTTGAACCCTGATCTCCAAGGTTTGCACCCAACAGGAAATGTGATCTTTTGTTATGTATATAAGTTCTGAAAAAAATTAATTGCAAAGCATATAAAGAAGAATGAACAACAAATTATCAACTCCAAAGTGACGTCCATTCTACTTTACTAAGTTCTAGGTTGCGCGGGTACTTGTACTGATAGGGATATACTATGTAGACATGGAATAAGAAGATAGCGAACCAGGATTAAAGTAAGAACAAACGCAAGCATCAAAATAGAGCGCACACTTAGAAACAACTGGTTTTCGCCACCTAATTAATAACCGCCCTCCCTGTAACTTCAAATATACTATCCATAAAATACTAATGAAAAATAAACAAACAAAAAGGAGTTAATAATTCCTTGAACTTAGTTGTCCATTACCATGAGGTCACGTGCTCCTAATATATGATAAAATGGTTTCAAAAAAATAAATTATGACAAATATATATATACATACATGCCCACAATAAAATAAAATAGAAAGATAAATGATTTCTTCCCATATGTTCTTAAAACTTTAATGGACAATGTCACCTGGTACCTGTGGTGATGGGAGAATGCAGAGATCTAGCTTTCACCTTGAATTTGAGTCATATCGATATATTAACTAAATTTGTTACTTTACGGATAATTACCAATTGGAAAAAAAAAATGTTACTTCACAAGTTTTGTTGTGACCCAGCATCGAACCATGATGTTCACTGAACTAGGAATATCAACAACTAGTTTCTTAATAGCAGAATGTTCTTGGACAACCAAGCTTCTTAAATCCATGATTTTACTCCTTTGGAGGGGGAGGGGGAGGGGGTAAAGTTTACAAAGTTTAACTTTAAATTGATTCTTACTCCTAGTTCCTGCCTCTCTAGACCAACACAAATCACAATCATATAGTGAGGGAAATGAACTCAATCAAGGTAGTCCTATAAGCGAGAAAAAAAGACTTGCAATTGTTATCTAATTTCAAAAAAATGTGTCATCTAAATATTTATAGAAAACACAAACATAGCGTGAAATTCGTATTGCTTCCTTTAGTTCTGATAATGCCATTCATGTCTTCATTTTTTCGAAAACTAAATTTTAAAAAAAAAAACCAAGAATATAAGCTATATGCATCAGGTAGCTATAACATGATTTACACCCCAAAATTTATAAAAACTATCAAAATCATCCCAACTTGACTATCGTGCCTGAAACAAACAATTAAACCTGCTAGTGCTTAACTGCACTCATATTTTTTTAGTAGAAAAGATAGTGAAAATCGATGAAATTGATTTTTCTGAAGATGAAAGAAACTTGATAATCACAATGTAGAATTTTATTGGCGAAGGTTTCTTCATCTCATTACCTTGATCTTCTTACCGTTTTAACTTAGTAAAGTTTCTCTCAACTGTAGGCAATAACAAGAGGAAGTGGGTGTTTGATGGTTAGCTAGGTATTTAATATAATGGGTAGATGAGGTCCTTTTATAAATTTTAAAAAATTTGGGGTAAATTTTTAAATCTAAGAGTTCTCAAGTTGTAGATCTTCAATGAAAAACTGGTTCAAAGCACTTTTTCAAATTTGAAAATCCATTTTCAAGTTGGATTTGAAAAATTGTAAAACTTTCTTAACCAAACATTATTTTGAAAAAAAAATGGAAAAAAGGAAAAAATATTTATGTCCAAACGGGCCCTAAGATGTTTTCTTTACATGGTATCAAAACCAAACCTATTCAGAATCTTGGTTTACTCGGTGTTGGCACCCCTGTTATGTTGTCCAGGCGTCGAAATGTCCAGCTCTGAGTGTGCGGCACAATGTTATTAAACCATCTCTTCGCTACTTAAAGCGATGAAAATGATGTGAACCGAGGGGTCGTTGATTCATGAGCAAAACTGTGCGCTTCAAATAAGTGTGTAATTCAATCAATGACTCGCGAAGTAAGTCCAACTAGAAACGGTCTATTCTTTAATCTCAAATTTGAAGAGTTGGATTAACATCAACATTCTTGTATGTCGGATGTTAAAGTTAGGTATTTTGATTGAAATTTGATTATCATAATACTAAATTCATATATTTAGGGTATTTCTTTAATTTTCCGTAAATTTTGTGATTCACGTTAAAGAAGCATGCTCTTCACTTCTGGTTTATCGCTTCAAGTCCCATGGACCTTGTCACCTTTTGTGCTTGTCACTTTTAAAAATAATGGACTGTGTGGGAGGGGTGTTAAGTGTCTATATTGGAAGTTTTCTCTTTGCTTGGTCTTGGACAATCCTCGAGTTAGTTTTGGGGTTGAGACGTTGAGTTAGGCCCAACATCCATTTTCTTTACATCATCTATCTAGGAAAATGACTCTTAGACCTGAGTGGATGTATAAGCAGAAGGCCCACAAGATGTCTTATGGATATGCTATTCCCATTTGAGGTGGGTAATGCATATGTTATTTTGATAACGGTGGTGTCCGAGTCAACTTAATTTCACCTTGACTATTCCATATAAAGACAACTAATGATTGTCCAAAACAATTAACGAGTTATTTGAAACAATTCACAAGAAGAAAACATGAAATAAGACCATCACTCTTGAAAATGAAGCAGATCTCCCATAGCCATAGGATACTTTTTCCATATGATTGGGCGTGTAGGACCAGTAGAAGTAGCAACTCGCATGATTATGGATTCCTATGTAGTTTTGGCTGAATCCTTAATTTAACATTATTCTTTTGATAAACATTGGTTCCAAAGATGTAAAATTTTCCCCAAGTACATTTTTGACTTAAGAAGGTCTTTATTAAAATGGTGTAAACGTCCAAAAAATGTGTTTATCGAAGGAAGACAAATCTTGGATGCAGCCTTGATTGCAAATAAATCTACTAATCTAGTTGACTTCAGGTTAAAGAGTTAGAAACGGGCCTATATGTAAATTGGACTTGGAAAAGGCATATGACCATGTTAACTGGGGCTTCTTGGATTTCATGATGAAGAGGATGGAGGTAAATGAAAGCATTGGATCCACTTATGCATATCTACTGTAAAATTCTCGATCAGGGTTAATTGGAAATCCTACCCAAAAAAAAAAAATGAAGGGAGGGGCCTGAAATAATGAGATCCTCTATCACCATGCTATTCGTACTAGGAATAGCATTCAGTAAGATGATAGACAGCACTGTCAGAAGGTTCTTAAATGGATCCACAACCAGGAGGAGGATCCAAGATAGTTTACATGTGTCTCAACTGTTATTTGCAGATGGTACATTTGTGATGTGTGATACTAAAATGAACCAGCTTAACAATTTAAAGGAACATATTATTATGGTTTTAAGCAGTTCCAGTACAGAGAATAAATACCAGTCAGAGAGGTGAACAACGTGGATAATTGGAGAGGTTCTCAACTATGATGTTGGCTCTCTCCTGGTGACTTATTCAGGATTACAGTTGGATGCGACAAATAAGGATATTGCAGTAAGGGATCCAGTGATTTTAAGAACCGAACAAATGCTCAAAAATGTGGCGTAAGATATATTTTAGCAAAGGGGCTAGGAGATAAAGATAGAAGAGTATATTTTCCAGTATACCGATGTCATAAATGACCCTACTATATACACCAACAGCACTAGCACAAAGATCGGAAATATAACGGCAAAATTTTCTGAAGGGCACCGAGGGAATTTAAAAAATTATTATCTTGTTAGATTAGAAACAGTCACATTCCGTATGAAGTTGGGAGCGTTAGAATTAGGGATTTTGGGAGTGTTCAATAGACACTATCAGGAAACCCATATGAAGGTTTGAAGTAGAGGAGAAAGCATTGTGGAGGAGCGTTGTTGCCTATAAATACAGAGTTCAGAAGGGGGTACATGATCACTGTAACAGATGTGCTATGTGTGAAGACCAATACGAAGACACCGACCACCTATTGTTACATGGTAAAGTTGCCTCACAACTTGGAACATGACATTCAGTCTGTCGGAACTTAAATGGTCCATGCCAAGGACAACTTTGCAATTTGTGCAATGCTGGTGTAGAGCTGGTCTAAACAAAGCTTCTTTCAAAATATGGAACTCCACTCAGGTAATAGTATGGTGGACCCTCTGGAGAGAGAGAAACTCCAGCATTTCTTAAGGCAACAGATATACTTCTCTTAGTCTTAAGCTTAAACATATTCCTGCGAAATTTTGGAACATCAATGTTCTAAGTGAGTCTGATGCCATATTTGACTTTATCAACTCAAGACACAACCTGTGAAGGCTTACTGATAGGTAGCTACTTTTGCGATGTAACTACCAGACGCCAGCACTTTCTTGTTGCTGTTCTCAATCAATAAAATTTTACCTTAACAAAAAGATGGGGAATGGAAACAAGTTAGACCAGGCAACCTTACGCAGCGGTAGTCTGGAGGAGCATAAAAAAGGATGAGAAAGAAGTTTACAGAAATGTAAAATATGAAACCAGAATCAATGTCTGAATATAGATATCGATTCGTGAAACCACTCTCGGGCAGAGACAACAGAAATGGAAAGGTAACAAAGGCCACGAGTTCACAATTAAGTCCTTCAATAATATATTGCTTGTGAAGGGGAAGGAATTCCTCACACTTCAATTTGGGTTCCAGAATAGTGCTAGAAAGGTGTCATTCTTTGTCTAGATAGCAACACAAGGATCCATTGTAACAGCAGCAATCTAACAGTTTATGCTAGTTGGCGTTCTGTGCGCGTGAAGGCAGAGCAAGATGTAACATTAATCATTTGATGCTATAATGTCCACCAACAGAAAAGACATGGTGTACAGCTAAGTTGCTCCGACACGGCAGATTAGGTGCCGCACCTGTGTCGACACGACACTAGTGTGGGTGTGGGTATGGGATCCGTACCGGATCTAGTCAAACAATTTTGGGTACTGTGACCACGACGAACGAAAAAATTCGAGATGAGATACAATTTGATTCCCGAAATCAGAACAAAAACTAGGGTAAATTTGAAGAAAATAGCATACTTTATCTGGGAAATCAATCCTTTACTTATCTATAACTTGAGAATAAAAAAGCATCTACACTTTACAAGCTATACGTAAGTATTCCACAAAATTTCTCATAATTTAGAGATATTTTTATATTTTTATTTTTTTTAATTATTTTTAGCCGGATCCCCGCACCCGTATCCGTACTAGGATCCGTATCCCCGAATCTTAGAATTTACATCTCGAAGGATCCGACCTCTAGATCCGCACCCGTGTCCGAGCAACTTAGGTGTACAGTGTGAAACATGTTTGGAATTAGATGGTGGCACAAAGTAGAGAGCTATCAGTCTATCACTTTGGGTGGAAGTGTAGAAGCAGAAAATACAAAAGATGAGCATTTTGGACCTGATTTGGACCACATGGAAAGAAACAAATGTGATGTTAATAGAATATTTTTAATTTCTCTACAGTTTTGGTCACATTTGGTAAGCAGACTCATAGAGGATTGGATGTTATAGAGAATCATGTTCCTGTGCAGGATTCTATTTAATGTTTACATTTTTTTTGGTACTTAAGGAAAAATTTATTACCAAGGAAAAAATATTTACAGACGAAATGAAAAACCCCTAAAACTGGACACAGTCCCCAGTTTTAGAAACACCGGCCTCAGAGTCTCCAACTAGCTACAAACATCATGAAACTACAACTGATATTGGCTAATCTATTTAATGTTTACATTACGATTTACATAACCTTTTATCTTTACACACAAAAAATGCCAATCCAAATATAAAATTAAGCCACAAAAAAAGATCGGATTTATTTTACAGATAGCTAAGAGCCTGACTTTAAAGAAAAAATTTTGATCACTTTCTCTCAATTACTCTACTATTACTATTTTTCAGCGATTTGGCTTCTTAGACAATTGAAGAGAACTGAACTAGATCTCCTTCACTGTTTGTGCTCATGCTAGTTGTTAATTAGTCTTTTTCTTCTTTTGTTTCTCGATCTTCTACTTTTCTTCATCACTCTTCCTCTTTTCTTGGTGCTTTTGCCAATTCTTCCATCTTTTTATTGATCGAAAATATGATACTTCTGTGAATTAGCATATTTCTGCGGACTAAAAGGTCAAAATTTCTTAAAAGGATATGTTATTTATAGTTTTCATGTGCAGTTTGAAATAGAGACGCTACAAATGATTAATAGAAATCAATTCCCAAATAAATTACTTAGGTAAGTCTAGAAGTTGGAACATTTTATATCATCTCTACGATAGAATTGATTATTTTGTAAATTATGAGTCACAATCCTGAGTGAATAATCCAAACTAATGCCAGTTGATTATTTGGTTGAAGAACCTCAAGCTTTCCATTTCCAGTATCAAATTTAAAGCATACCCATAAGTCAGTTTATGCAACTTGGAAAACTGCAAGTTGATGCCTTCTGTGATAAAGGAGAGCACGTGTGAACTTTAACTAAAGGATTGTAATGTAGATATATGTATTCACCACATCAGTATTCAATTTACAAGCTTGTGCATGAACCATATTTGTAGCGTCATTTTTATATTCCAGCTTTATTTTCAAACAAAATAATGTAATATTAGTTGTTTATATTACTTAGGAGCTTGATCTTTATGCACAAAAAATTGAGCAAAGACGTGGATCATCCTCCTATGTTGTCAGGTGACGATTCGCTTACGGTGGGAGAATTTGAGATGGTTAGGACTGCAAGGGACGAGGCCGAGCACAGTGAATGAGGCACTATTCAGTTGGGGCTGAGTAAGACCAGGCGAAGGGTGTGGGATGTTGCCCAGTAGCACTCATGTGGGTCTTATGGAAGGACAAAATTAGGAGAGCTTTTGAAGGAATATAGAACGATTATATACATTTGAGGAATAGTATCTCATTTTATAGTTTCTTTTTGGTACATCCATTGAGGTTCCAATTTGTAAAGAAGATTAATGAGTTTGTAGAGAATCATATATCTTTTTCTGATAAAGAGTTGACAATCATATTCTTTTGTAGGTTCTCTACCTTTTGTTATGCTATTTGTAAGGGAAATTTTCCCATCGTTAGTAAGATAATTTAACTTATTAAAAAAATTAGTTGCTTACAACCTTTTCCAGTAAGAAAAAAAAGTTTATCAAGCACCACTTTACTCTTTCCTGGGATCCTGAAGACCTTTATTGAAAGAAAAAGTCATGCAACTCCATTGTAAGTAACATAAGCAGCAGGATAAGGATTCACCAAATAAGTAAGAAAAGCTCGCAAAATTGTCACAAGCAATAGAAAAATTTTCGTACCTGATTGATGACTAGCAGTCAATTAACCCCAAAGAATAATCTAACAACACCAGCCGGCATCGGTCCATGCTTATCCAACACATTTGCTTTTTGACCAAATCTGCTACTTGGGAGCAGCACCAATTGATTATGAGAACTTGGTTATAACAATAATGGCCGAGCTCAGCAATCTGGCTTCTAATCCAAGTGGGGCCATCAAAAGAGTTAAAATGTAATAAAAATGAATGTCAGCGCACCTATGTTGCTCGGAGTCTCCGAAAATGTCAGTGGGTGCTTATCGGATCCTCCAAAATTCCCTTGAGACCAGCTATACTGCTTCTCAAACACAAATTTCAAATAGAATTCTAATAAAAGGAGATTTTCCCACATCACAATCCAGCCAAAATTCATCGCATAGATGAACCCCATTCAAAAACTCACTTTTCACCGGACCGTGTTGGAAATGTCGGAATCAAGTTCAGATATTCATGGTATTTGTCATCCTTCGACAGTAATTCTACAACAAGAGATATTGTTGATAGATCTGGTGAAATATGTTTCTCTGCCATTTTCTGAAGAAGGTTTACTACCTGTGGCGCATCATTGTTATCACAGAAACCTCGCATAAGTGTATTAAATGTTACAACATTAGGAAAACATCCCTTCTTTTCCATCTCCAAGAACAGATTATTTGCTTTTTCTAATTGACCAATTTTACAGAACCCATGAATCATGATAGAATATGTAACAACAGTTGGGACCAAGCCTTTCTGGGATAAACTCTCAAACAATTTGGTAGCGTCTTCAAGCTTTCCTCCTTTACACAACCCGTCAATTACACAGTTAAAGGCATCAATAGTGAGTTCATGTCTTGTCCTTTCTAGAAGTTGGAACAACTCCATTGCCTCCGGGAGGCAATTATTCTTGCAAAATCCATCTAATAGTATAGTGAAAGTTGAAGAATTTGGTGTCACACCACACCTTTGCATCTCGTCAAATAGTTCTCGGCCATCCCCAACTTTTCCTCCTTGAAAAAGAGCAGTTAACAAAGTGTTGAATGTAACTACCGTTGGCTTAGAATCCTTCTGAAGCATCTCTTTGTAAAGCCTCCAACCATCGTCTATTCTTCCGCACTTGCAATAGCCATTGATTAAGATATTGTAACTTATTACGTTGCGTTCCTCACCCTTAGCAGCCATCGAAACAAACAACTGCCTTGCATTATCAACCTTTCCCTCTAAGCAAAATCCATCCATCAACGTGTTATACGTAAAAGAATCAGGTTTTTCACCCCTTTGTATCATTAAGTCTAACAGCGCACTTGCTTCTTCGGTTCTCCCTTCCTTACAAAGGACATTCATCAAGGCATTGAATGTTACAACATTCGGACGGATACCTTGATCCACCATTTCATTAAAGAAAGCCTTCGCTTCCTCCCACTTACAAGCATCCGACAGACCATGAACCAACGAGCCATATACTACCACATCCGGGGAGATTCTTTTCTCCTTCATCTCCGAAAATACCTTAACCGCCTTATCTACCAAACCTTCCTTGCAAAGTCCATCAATTATCATGCTATATGTCACTACATTCGGCCTAAACGGAACACCAAAAAGAACATTCCCCTTGGACATTTCTTGATGCAAAACGAGCGCCCTCTCAGCATTACCACTCCTACACAACCCATTAATCAAAGTTCCCCATGTTTTAACATGAGGCTTATATCCCAATTCAACTATTTTCTTGAAAAGCCCCACTGCCTCGTTAATCTTATTTTCCACAAAAAGCCCTTTAATTAATGATGTGAAAGTTACAACATTTGGACTATAACCCCTCTTAAAAATCCCACCTAAAACAGAAAACCCTAAACCCACTTGTTTCATACTACAAAAACTGTTCATCAAAATGTTAAGGGTGATAAAATCAGTTGAATAATTTACAGCAACCATCTTGTTATACAGTGAGATGACATCATTGTAGTGCTTGGTTTTCGCAACTGCACCTAGCAACATGTTGAACGATGAAATGGGTGGTGGGGATTGCATATGGAGCATGTTATCAAAGTAATTAAGTGCATCTTTAATGTGGATTTTTCCTGATTTACAGTCATTTTTTAGGAACTTCTCAAGGGAAATCTTGTTTTGCGTTGGCTCAATGAATAAAGAGAAAAACTTACTACTTTTAGCAGCAGACAGACGAACTGAAGTTTTTGGAACTATCATCTTCCTCGCCGAAAAACAGAGGGCTGGTGTCGAAGAATGAGACGAGGTGGGAGTTACGGTTTTCCTAATAATGTAGGAATTATTTTTATCAAAATAGAGTATTTACTTGATGTATTAAAAATTAGTACTATAGTTTCTATAATATTAAACTACTATTAGTACCTGCGCATAAAGCATATCAAATTATAATGTGGGTTATTTAAATTATGTGTAAAACCTTAAATTAAACCTTTTATATATAAATTATAAATAATTATTTAATATTAATTAAGAAGCAGAACATGATATCATTTTTCAAATCTCATAGTGGATAATCTGCTTTCTTTTCTATATCTGTAATAACCCAACCCCTTGATTTGACACTTGTATTATATTTTACGGTCAATATTAAAAAATAATATATATATAACATTGTGATCTATCCTGTTTGAGCACATTAAACTATATTATTTTAACAAAATTCTTACTACCACTTTATTTTTCATCTCAAATTCAAATATTCTTATCCTTCTACATTTTTTAGACATAATTTTTTTCTCTTTTTTGTTCCTTGCTTATAGTTTGTGCATTATTTATTACTCAATATTATTATACTATAAATGTGATCTTTTATTAATCTTGTTTATTACCCTTTTAATAATCATAAATAAATGTAAAAAAAATTATTCTTGAAATTTAATGTATTCTTACACTATTATTCACTTACTCGGATCTCTTTCATCATTTAAATCCATTAATAATATTTTTGACTACTATTTAATAATTTAATTATTTATTTTTAATAAATTTAAAAATCTAAGTATCCTCGCACTATCTCTATTTTTTTCTTTATACATAATTTTTTACCTATATTCAAAATAAAGAGAATTTTAATTTTTTATTCAATTAAAAATTCAAACTGAAGTATTATACTTTTATTATATTTGATAGTTCTCTATCGGGGACATATATATCACATTTTATTTTAAAATATAACTTTGAATTAGTCTAAAAATTAATATACAAGATCTTTTATAATGTTTCAAATCTATTAAATTTTTCTTATAATTATTTTTTGTATTACGTGCATTTATTTTGTAATCTATTGATAAAAATTTGGCTTTTAAGAACTTTCAAATCTCAAATTCAAACCGTCTTTCCCTTTCATTTCTAATAGTAAATTTTTATAATCTAATGTAATTTTGCTATTTTTTTAATTTAATATATAGTCTTATTACGTTATGTGACTTTTCATTAACTTGTAACTTTATTTAATATCATTATCAACTATTATTCTTTAAAGAAGAGTCCTCCGAATATTTTGGTCTTACATTAGTTTCGATATCTTTTTGGAATAATATAATATGGATAAATATATATTTTGTTTTAAAAATATTGCTTGAAAATTTTAAACTATTTAATTTTTAATAATATTTTTAAGTATTGTATATTTACTTTATTTTATTTTCTAAATGTATGATTATAAATACTCACATTATCTTTAATTTATTTTTATTATTCAACATTTTTAGATTTTGATTTTATTTATTAGACTTGAGTTACGTGGACTTATTCATATTATGACTTTTCTTATCACAATATAAAAAACTTTCTCATCTCAAATTTAAATTAGTTTTTACCCTTTTTCTCTATGATAAAAATTTTGAATTTTTATTTTTTCTCTATTTATTATTTATTTTTGATATTATATTATTCAATTCATAATATTATTACATTGACATGTGGATTTTTATTATTTTGTTTGAATTTAATATCTATTTCTACCACACTCATTCTAATATAATATAGATAAAAGTAAATAACTTTATCATCTCAAACTCAAGTAATTTTATCATTCTATTTTCTAAATTGGACCGTATTTTCAAAAATTTATTTATGCTTTCAAACTCAAGCTAACTGCACTCAATTCAAATATTAATCATACAAAAATATTTTCTTAATTATTTGAACACATTATATCTAAACATTGTAATATTTTACGTATAAAATATTTGTTTGCCCTATTTATCAATATTAATATGACTTTATTATTATTGTTATTAAAATATTTTTCACCGATTATTTAATTTTTTTTTAACTTATAAATAATTTGTATACTTTATATAAGATCTTATTTTGCTGCTTGAATTTCTTTAATTTTAAACTCAATAAATCTTTAACATATTAAGTAAATTTTAGTTTTATTTTATATTTTAACTTATTCCTATAAATAGTCATAGGGTATCTCAATTTACATATTTTTAGTTTATTTGTTATAGTTTTTTATTAATTTTATCTCCATATTTCTAGCTAACATAGAAGAAAATCTATGACTGGATCAATATATAGATATAAATATAGATATAGATATAGATACAATATAAATATATAAATTAGATTTTTTTAAGATCTATTTAAATTATGTATAATATTCATTAAACTACTTCCATTAATTATGTTTCCATTTATAATTCAAACTTTTAATATTGACTTAAAATTGCCAAGTGAGTTCTTTTTAGCTTGCTACTTGGCTTAATGTCATGCTTCACTACCCTCCTTTTAATATAATACAGATTATACTCAAAACAAAAATGATGAATTTTGTCATTTTAGTTATTCTGATCACCTAGCATCCATGGACATGTGTTGTACGTTAATAGTGGCATGTATTAATCTATATTATTATAAAAGCATGAATACAAAGTCGGTTTACAAAAATTACCTTACAATATTAAGTATAATAACTCATAATAAAAGGACATAACCAGAATTGTACATATTAACCTTCTAATCCTATTAATTTTAGGACATAATACTACATGTTAGGAATTCCTAATCATGAAGCAAATCGAATCTAATTTTGATTAGAAAAGCACATCCATGAAATGTTACTTTCAAAACAAAAAAAAAAACTCTTGTGCCAAATCTTCCGAAACTTTAGGATAAACATTCCTATTCGTATTAATCGTACAACTTTTATTTCTTCTCAATTTTTAATAGTTTGATTCTCTACTAAATTTTTGAAAGCCAAAGTATTACTTCAAAGAGATAATCTTTATTTAATAAAATTACACGTTTAGAATTTTACTTGATGATCAGAATTTTGAAGTGCCTTTACAATATATTTTTTTATTTATGTTATCTATAACCTTGTAGTGTTGACTGGCTTTTATACACCTTTTTAAGCTCATGGTTATTTTAACTTAACATTAATATTAAGCTCAATTTAGTGATTATTACAATTTAATCAACTGAAACTTTAATATTACTTAAACTTGAGTTTTACAAAAATTACTATATCAAATACAAATAGTTAGGACTACAATACTCAGAATTAGGTCTTTCAAAATCAAGTTAGACACTTAATTTTACTCATACAAGACTTTTTATTAGGAATAAAAGCCTCTTACCGAATCAAATATATATGATAAATATTCTTATGTGTTTTTCATGAAACTAAAGATTAGATGAAAAAGAAAATTCCTTTGTCGATCACCCTAGATATGTAGATCAGTTACTTGCAATAATAAATAACTATTTATTGCAGTCTGATTTTGAAACTTTAATAGAGCAAGTAACATATAATAAGTTAGATTGTAAGATGGTAAAATTCATTTACACTGTTAAAATATATAACTTAACTCATATTAATTATTTTTCATTCTTAATTACTTACGTAATATACTAAGTTCTTGCTAATTTATCGATTTTAGTCACTTGAATTACTAATCCAACTAAATTGAAAAACTTATTTGTTTCTTTAATTTATTTTTTAATGTTAAAAACTTATTTTTTGCACAGGACTTTGTAATATTAATAGTACTTCACGTGTCACAAATGTCGATAGACAAACTAACAAGTAATGTTAGATGAACTTTAATTACTTTAACAAACTAAAGTCGGATGCACTTTTAGGTTTATGATTAAATAAGGATTAAAAGTATAAAAGTCAAATCGAAGTAATTCTTCAAGAATTACGTCAGTCTAAAGACAATTTTTATTTGAGTTATCACAATTGTTTACCAAAAAGATTAGATTAGACCAATTTTTTAAAATACTATCTTATGTTAATACCAAATCAATGCACCTAAATAATAGTAGTAATTTTTTTTTAGGAAGGGAGATAAGACCAATCAAAGAGAGGATATTAATAAGTCGTTTGTGAAAAAGTAACGAATTTTTAAAACGACTCTCAAGATTAAGTGCTACAAGTATTTTTAAAATTAATAAAAATAAAGACGCTAAATATAAACTTATAAGATTATATTTATGATATCAAAATAAAAAGATCCTACTACCAAATACTATAAAAGCAAGAACATATTTAATATTTGGTGATTTATTACTTCGTGTTGAGAGAACGAACAATTAAAAGAGGTGATGTGACCCTCATTCCAGAACAATTAATCGTTGAATACAATGGTGATAACAATTTAGTGTTTTGTGATTGTGATTATAATTGTGATATTTTATAATATAGATCGATCAATCAAACTACATATAGTTTGTTGATGAGAATCATGTCCTTACAATTCTTGATTGTGGAAGAAGTTAAGCTTTTGGCGAATAAAAAAATCTTTGCTTGCATATATATATATATATATATATATATATATATATAAGAGAACTTTAACCTTGAGCTACAGATGAATCTTCATCCTGAAAATCTCAAATATGTAAATAGAAATAACAGCCATAAGAAAATTCATATTTTTTTGCTTCTTTTGATTGGTAGCACATGTCAAGAAAATTTATGGTCTACTAAAAAGCGTCTAATAAAAAAATACCTATCAATAAACTCATGATGTTCGAAATATGTTCTTAAACTTTTACATGGCAACTCTTCTAGCAACATTTTCGTAAAACGATTAGAGAAGTGCCTAAAACCTGAGTTCGCAATAATTTAAGGAACAAAACTTCTTATGATTGAGCTGTTGGTAAATTTGCATTTTTTCAAATTTAGCTTACAACCTAATTATTCTTTCTAAATTTCTAATGCTTTATATGACATCTTTTGATTCAACACATTTGCTGATCATTAATGTAATAACATCAACTGTGTTTTTATATAATTCTTTCT